GGAAGGCTGATGCTGCTTGGCCTGCTGTGTTCATCCAGCTCTACACCTTGTTATCTCTATTAATGAGGAGAACTGGGTTATTATTTCGGCATTTAACAAACATAATCACCTCAACTAACATCTTGCTGCTGCTAAGTAAGAATCTTGTCACAATGCTTGTGAGAAATTTAACAGATGGGCATGAATTGCTCCTGACATCAAGATGGGCCTTGCACACTTGTCACTCCATTCTGCTACACCTCTCACCATTTTGCTTAGACCCCTATGACAGTCACTTATAGCACAGAAGGAAGCCACTCTGTCAGTCAAGTCCTTGCCACCTCCCTGTAGAGCAAACCAGGCACATTGCCCTGCTCCATCCTTTAGCCTTATCTTTCTTTTCGAGTGTCCATCCAGAATTAGAATTAGCTTTACTGTCACATGTACTCACATGAGCACAGTGAAAGTTTTACACGTCACCACTTACAGCGCCATTTAAGGTACGAAGGTGCCTAATTACAGATTTTTATGCACAAATTCTTAGGGTAAAATTTGGTAAAATAATGAAATAAAATGTCCAGCAATAAATTAGAAAAATAAAAGTTCAGAATAACAGTCTTTCCAAGCTTAACCTTGAGGCCGAGAGTTGAGTCCCCAGTAAGGCCGGGAGTTTGAGTCTCCAATAAGGCAGAGAGTCCGAGTCCACCCTGAGGCCAGGAATCCGAATCTGCGCTGAGGCCGGGAGTCCGAGTCCACGCTGAGGCCGGGAGTCCGAGTCCACGCTGAGGCCGGGAGTGCAAGTCCACGCTGAGGCCGGGAGTTCATATACAACTTGAGGTCCAGAGTTTGAGTCAATGCTGAGACCGGGAGCCTAAGTCCACCCTGAGGCCAGGAGTCCACGCTGGCTTTCACTCTGGACATCGATGTCACCCAAGGACAGGAGGTAAAAAGAAAAAAGAAAACAATACACGAAAATAGAGAAAGAAAGAAAAGAAATTGACAAAGCGGACAAGCTCTGGCTCAGGAGTCCTACTCCGCTGCCATCTTGGAAGTTACTTCAATTTCCTTTTGAAATGATGGATCACGTCTACTTGCACCACCCTCTCTAGAAAATGTTCCAAATCATTACTACTCAATCTGAAAAAATGTTCTTCCTTGTTATCCTCCTGTATTTCTTTCCCAAAACCTTGTATTTGTGACTCTTAACCCTTCCAGTATAACCTAATGGGGGTAGTTTTCCTCATTAAAATTTATCCAAATCTATTAAAATCTTGTATACCTCTATCAAATTTCCCTTCAACCTCTTTGCTCCAAAAAAAAGAACAACTCTAAATTCTTCAAGAGAAGGTGTAAAAGAGATTTAACAGAATCGTATCAGGCATGTGGAGAAATGAGTGAAACTAGCGATATTCTTTAAGCGCAGGGAAAGTTTCAGGGAGATATGGTAGAGGTGTTCAAAATCATGAAATAACAAGATGAAACTTCTTCTGATGGTAGGAGAGTCAGTAACAGTATAGAGAATTATTAACTTTACACTGAGTTAGCTACTGAATATATGTGAAAAGAGTATGTCATAGTGATGTCAGGTCACACAGAACTGGAACCCAGATTTCTAGGGCTCCGGATAAGATGTCCTCTCTTGCTTTTCTCTGTAAATAGTTATATCAATACAGTCTGTTGCTGTTTATTCACAAGAGTGTAGATCTCATGTTACTACTATAACCAGAGGTCACAGGTTTGAAATAGAGGCAACATGAAAGGCGAAATCTTTGCACAGCGTAGTATGATCTGGAATGCACTGCCTGAAAGAGTGACAGAAGTAGATTCAATAATGATTATCAAAAAGGAACTGGATAAATATGTGAAAGAGAAAAATTTTCAGGGCTGTGGGGAATGAGACTAATGGGAAAATTATTACAAAGCTTGCACAGGCAAAAAGCCTTACTTCTGCCATCTGACAAAAATCCGAGGCAGCAATCTTCCAGTGTCTTGGCTAAAACTGCTACTTCAATCATCACCTTCAAAAAACACGGACTATCTGGATATTCATTTGATTGCTTTATGTGACATTTTAGATGCAAAATGGAATTTACATTTGCTCCCCCAACAGTCACTGCAATTTAAAACAATTAAGTTTGAATTACTTCTAATCAACCTGTTCAGACATATTATGACAGATCTCCAGGGCAGGTAGGACTTAAACCCAGACATTCAGGTCCAAAGGCAGGGACACTATCACTGCACCACAAACAGCTCTAAACAATGTGAAGTGTTTCATGTCATTTTCAAACCAGGCACTGCACAAATACAATTTTTCCCCTCTTTAGATGACACTCATGTTTATAGACTAGGTGCAATTTCAGTTTGAGCTGCACTGGTGAGGGATCTCAATACTATTAAGCTGTTGGAGGAACTGAAGTAACAGAACAGCAAAAAATCCATTGTTAACACTTATGATCACTGTCCAGTGACTTCTGTTGAAAGATTTGTAAAGAACAATCTGGTTTCAGTCATGTTGGTTCTCAAAGTCACTTAGTCTGCCAACACTCACTTTCTGAGCTGATGTATGACAAGCATATATGGGCAAGGTGCTAACTTTGGTAAAACTGTATCTGAGTGTAAAGGCACAACAGTCAGTACAAACAAAATAAAATTTCATTCACATCAAACCGGATGGCAGCTTTTGGGAAAATTTTATCATGATGTAAAAATTGATCCTAAAATATATTTTAGAAAAAAATAGCTTCCAACATGCATGAAAGGCTCATACCACATATGCACATTATAACTGGAAGAGAGAATCACGTAAAAGAATTGTTTAAAACAAAGTAAGCTTGTAAGAAACAGCACCCTATTAGGCAATCTAGATCTCATTTAAATCACACATATTTTGCATAATTTCTAAACCAAAGCCATTTTCATATTTGCAGATGGAAATTCCATATTCATCATTAGGATATTGAACCTCAATCATTTTAACCAGAGGATGATGTGACTAGGTAAGACACTATTCTGTCTGACACCATCATATTGTAGAGGTTCACAAACTCTCAGCTATTAGTAAACATTTGCCGTACTGACGTACTCTCAGAGATGTCCTTATCTATTTTTCAAAAAATGTTATCAGTTCTTCAAATGGTAAACATTCAATTATTGCAGAAAACATTTTTTACTCATATAAACTAACAGAAATAAACATCCCATTGGGCCGACGCTGGATACAAGTATATAAATTTATTGACAATTATCAGATAATTTTAGGGCTTTCCTCAATTCTGGCAATATTAATTTGGTAACCTCTACCTTCAAGGTATAGAAAGGTATTTTGTATCCGGAGGAATGGGTCTTAAAACGTGGAAAAGGTGGAGAAAGGGTCACCCCTTAGGGCTACAAGTAACTCCTTCCACTGTGAATTCAAAAGAACAGAAGTATATGAGTTCCCTCCCAAATCACGCAGCATCCTACATTAGACATGAACATTTTTTTTTAAACATTGATATCCTGGAGGTCCCAGACCCAACAACATCTCCTGATGGCAACTAGGGCTGAGCAATAACTACAATTTTAACGTATTGCCACCCGTCTCCCACAATAAAAAGAACCTCCTCCAGCTGGTATTACAAGAGAATTCTTAGTGGCCTCAACTGAGTGTAAATCTCCAGCTTGCATTCTTGCATAGGATAGTCTGAAGGGAAACTCTATCAGAGACTTTTTTAAAAACCATACATTTAAAAGTTAAACCAGATTAGATCACTTCCTTACCCGGCTGCTCCTGAGGATGCTGACTCAGGAATTCTTTCTGAGGTGTGCATTCATAGGCAATGGCAACTCACTACAAGGTCCTTATAATAAGTGATAAGCTATTCAGTTATAGAGGCCATCAGGGCCAAACTCCGAGGTAGTTCCATGCTAAGTTGTACCTCCAGGCACTAACATTGGAGATAAGGCGAAAGAAAGAACATGTGTTTATTTAGCACATTTTGTGACATCAGAATGTCCCGACAGGCTAATGAGTCAATACTTCTTGAAGTGTACTGTGGTCATTGCTGTAACATAGGGAAACAGATGAGCCACACTGTACACAACAATGTGCCACAACAGCAACAGGATAGTTCTATTATTGACAGTCTTTCTAGCTCTAACAATTTACGGATCAATTCAAAACCATATGCATTTTGTTCCATTTTTAGACCTTAACTTCATTAGCATCCAACAGACATTATTCAAAGAAATTAACATGAATATACCTAGTAAACAGACATACTCATGGAGGATTCAGTTTAAAATAAAGACAAAGTAGAGTCACGTGAAGCAGTGTTTACAACATTTTAAACTGGCAACTATCCAGCTTGGGCCATAAGAATCGTTTAACTCAGAAACTTAAGTGCTTTGCATGGAAAGTAGGCAAGAATGATCATTCTTATATGTTAAAAAATAACTCACTCACCTCCTCAGATGCTGAAACAATGTAGAAGGTGGATTGCTTTTCCCTGCCATGGAAGAATTCAAGCTTACATTTTTGTCCTCAGTGAACTACAAAGCTTTATTCATTTCCAGCCCCCTGACAACAAGTCCAAACGGCAGAATAACATACTGACTTTTAACTTCCCACTCTCCTGTGTACAAATTCTTTCATAAACTCAGCAGACATAACATCTGCAACTTGTGCAAGTTATATACATTCTCTGGTATCCAAACTCACTCAGGAAGAGGCGGGTTACATACACAGGACTTAACTCTTGCTGATTGAGCAATTTCCTTCAACTTCGCTCTACTAAGTTATCTTGAATCCCAACAATTCAAACGGCCCCTTACTACTGCAGGAAAGGAACTTTTTTTAAAAAGAGCAACAAAGTTTGAGCCAACTGCAGTAACCTGAACCCTTCCTACTAATGCCTAATTTAACTTCGCGTGCAGCAGTTATCAGCTAAATACAGGCAAGATAATGAAAAAACAAGGGCACAGCTACACTTCAAGACTGGCCCAGTGTTCAAAGAGAAATTTCTGCTCTAACAAACATGAAATTCTTCATTAAAAGAAGTGATCAGAAGAACACAAAAATGAAAGACACATATATTTGAACTTTTATGACAACAGGATGTCCCTAAATACATTTGAAGTGTGGTTACTATTGCAATGGAGAAAATGTAGAAAATTTATGTTGTTATGAAAATGTATAACCATCCTACCTCTCTTTTGTTAAAAAAATCAAGAGCTCATTGGGTTTAAAAGGAAAGAACAGTTTTTCAGCACGAGAATGAACTATTCAGAGATCTTATTGTTACTTTGGTGAACCAGCACAGCCATAATGAGCTGAATGGCCTTGTACTGTACTGCTATCATTCTGATGTTCTGTGATGCCCTGTCCTGACAATTTCCACCATTTCTCTTTTTAGAGAAAAAGAGCATATTCTTTGCTGGTGGTTCAGTAAAGTACCACCTGTTAAGACATTTAAACCAGAAGAACCCCAGGTTTCATTCCTTTTCTATAGTGCTCTGGAAATACAGAATTGGTCTCACCATCCCTAGGTCGAAAAAATGCAATCAAGCTGCTCAGAGGCCCCTGCTGGAACATATTTTTTGTTTGTACATCAGTTTGAAAAGTAGATCCCTTACAATGACAAGTCTAACAACAAGTCGAGATTTGTACACAAATAATGGAAACTTCCATGATATACTGAAAGGTTTTGTTACCCATTGAACTACATTTGGTATAGGTATAATTTGCAGCTAAGCAGAAGGGAAGAATACAATGCTACTTGAGTGACTCACCCAGGACATGGTTCAAGGTGAAAAATACATTTCCTCGTTCTGTGTAAGTAATAAGTGATAAGTGTGATTTGAACGATATAAAACAAAAATCACATCACTGGTAGCCAGGTTCATATACTAATGTCAGTTTTTTAACCTGTTATGCCTGGTAGAAATATTTAGAAGAAGATAGTTTCCTAAAATGCTTCAAAATCCTAAGTGATAGACAGGTATGTACATAATTTGTTAATTGAATGTAATGGATTAAACTACTCATAAAGTGCAGCTGGTAAAATGGACACTTTGCTAAAGTGAAACACCTACGCATTCTAAACCTTTTTTTAGTTATTTCAATCAACCTGTTCATACATGCTATGCACCTCCAGGGCAGGTGGGACTTAAACCTGGATAGTCAAACCCATAAGACATAGGAACTGAAGCAGGCCATTCAGGCCATTGAGTCTGTTCTGCCATTAAATGAGACCATTGCCGATCTGACAATCCTCAACTCCACTTTAATGTCTTTTCCCCAGAACTTTGACTTCCCTTATTAGCTAAAAATCTGTCTTTCTAAGCCTTGAATATACTTAATGATCCAGCCTTGGCAGCCGTCTGCAGTAAAGAACTTGACAAATTCACCACCCCACAAGAGAAGAAATTCGTCTTCATTTATCTTAAAAGAGCAACCCCTTATTCTGAGATTATGGCCTCTGATCCTAGACTCTCCCACAAAGGAAATAACCTTTCTGCATCTACCTTAACAAGTCCTCTAAGAATCTTACATGTCCTAATAAGATTACCACTCATTTTACTAAGCTCCAATAACCACAGTTCCAATGTACTCAACCTTTCCTCGTAAGACAGTCCCCTCCATACCTGGTTTCATCTTAGTGAATCGTCTCTGCACTTCCTCCAATGTCAGTATATCTTTTCATAGATAAACGGCCCAAAACTGCTCACAGTATTCCACTGTGGTCCGATTAGTGCTTTGTATAGTTTTAGCAAGATGTAGGAACACTACGAGAAGAGCCATAAAATTTTAATCAACTTGTCCAGATATATGATATCCCTCAGGGGCAAGGTGGATTTGAACATAGACCTTTTGGCCCTGAGGGAGGGACATTACCGTTGCACCATAAGACCCCCATTCCTTCCTTTGTACTATTTCATTAAATTATTTCAGGCTACATTAAATTTTGATAAAAAAAGTCTTCAAGAATCCAAAGTAATAGTTACCCACAGCTGGCACAAATTAGGGTAGTTCATTGGTTTATTAACCCTGCAGACTAGTTTTTATTTCAAGAATCCAAATTGCGCCATTGGTCATAATGGGATTTGAAACATTGTCCACAGAACTTCAGGTTGTGATTACGGATTACCAGCAAAATTACTATTATGCCACCACTAATTCAATAAAATCTGGAATTCAAAGCTACACTAATGGTGACCATGTAAATCATTGTCAATAGTCATAAAAATCCGTCTTGGTTACTAATGTCTCAGGGAAGGAAATCTGCTGTCCTTGCCTTATCTAGCTTACATGTTACTCCAGACAGCAATGTGGTAGACTTTTAATTGGCTCTCAAGGCTATTTCAGAAGGTAACTAGGGATGGGCAAGAAATAATGACTTGCCAGCGACACCTACATCTCATACAATAATAAAATATTCTTGATTCTGAATAACAGAGAGGTTCAAGATCTCTCAGTCTTTATATTTAAACTTTGTCATGAGCTGATCTTTTAATTTTAATGAAGTTCCTTCATCATTTTCTAATATGATAAATGATAGTTGCAGTTTAATTCATTTGAACTATTTTAGTTGATCAGATAAATAAAATTTCAAGCTCTGGATCGAATTTAAACTTTTATGGGGTGTCCAGAGGCACTACCTTTGAATAGTCAATATTGTGGAAATTACTTTGACACTGGAAATTTACTGTTCATTGAGTATTTAACTTGGAAAACACAGGAAAGCTAACCTCATTATTCTGACAGTAAATACTTCCTATGGTATTGGTACACCTACAGAGAAATGGAAATCAACACGTATAACTTTAGTACTCCTGCAAGCTATTATATACATACTGTAACTGAGAGATCTCCTTGTCTGGAGAGTCATACTCTGAAAAGTTAATGATAATTTTTAATTAATGTTGCGCTCTTAAAATCGTTTGCGTGATTGATCAATATGTTGTCCACCTTGCTAACAACTTTTGAACTTGGACTTACGTTGTAGTAAGGACTGATTTAATCCAAAATCATTACTTGGGATTTAGGCTAAGAATTGGGCCAGTAGTTTAGCTGAAGACTATTGAGGCATTTGGATCTAATGCTCAGTCTTGCTCATAGTCAGAACTGAACTAAATGATCCTGAAGGGTCAAATTATTTCTCAGGTTATGGAATATTTGAGGATTTTTGCTATCTAAGCAAAATAAAGATGACAACTATAAAAGTTGACAATGAACTTCAGGGTCAGAATATTGTGGCTGAGCACTCATGGGGTTATCTCTTAAAACTCTCAATCAAGCTGGTTTGAATTTGACATAATTGTACTGCAATTTGGCTTGAGACTCTACCAGAGAACTGACAGTGTTGGCCTTTTCTTCACATAAAAATGTTACATAAACAGCTTTCCTCCAGTGATCCCCTAACTGCTGCCTTTACCTTCAGCTACCCCACCCTAAACATTGTCTTATTAACATGCATATTACACAAGACTCTCAATTCCTCATTTCTGGGCTTTGAATAGCAACTCATTAAGATTTCAAAACTATTTCAGAACTTCCACAAAAACTATGCTGCCCATACGAACCCTCTCTCAATTCACCTGGAGCTGACCCTGTACTGGGAAGGGAATGGTGGGCATGGATGGAAAGAAACATTGGCCTTTACAGCAAGTCTTCACCAAAAGTGGCTCGGCATGATTGAGGTGGTCGGTAGTATATAGCTGTCAGATTGACAGGTGTCGAGGGAACCAACAAGACAGAAAAACGTATTTGACTTCATAAAAAACCGAAAGAACTGAGGCTGATGTAAATCAGGAACAAAAACAAAGTTGCTGGAAAAGCTCAGCAGGTCTGGCAGCATCTGTGAAGAAAAAGACAAAGAGTTAACATTTCGGATTCGGAGATCCTTCCTCAGAACAGTTCTGAGGAAGGGTCACCGGACCCGAAATGTTAACTCCGTTTGTTTTTTTCTACACAGACGCTGCCAGATCTGCTGAGCTTTTCCAGCAACTTTTGTTTTTTTATTTGACTTCATACTCACCAATCCACCTGCAGCAGGTGCATCTGTCCATGATAGTGTTAGTAGAAGCAACTACTGTACAGTCCTCGTAGACACACGGCCCCGTCTTCACATTGAAAATACCCTCCATTGTATTGTGTAGCAGTACAACCATACTAAATGGGATAGATTTCGTACAGATCTGGCAACTCAACACTGGACATCCATGAGACACTGTGGGTGATCAGCAGCAGAACTACACTCAAATGCAATCTGCAATCTCATAACCCTAAACTACCATCACCATCGAGCATGGAAATCAACACTGGCCCAGTGAAGAGTTAAGGGGGCATGCCAGGAGCAGCATCAAGCATTGCTAAAAATGAGGTATCAACCTGGTGACGTTAAACCACATAAGCAGAAAGTGATATACAGAGCTGAGTGATTCCACAACCATTGTTCAGATCTAAGCTCTGCAGTCCTGCTACATATAACCATGGAAAATCAAACAACTCATTGGAGGAGAAGGTTTCATAAATACCCATCCTCAATGTCAGTGAGCCCAGCATGTCAAAACAAAAGATGAGACTAAAGTATTTGCAATGATCTTCAGCCAGAAACACCGAGTGGATGATCCATCTTGGCCTCCTCTGATGTCCCCAGAATCACAGATGGTAGTCTTTAGCTAATTTGCTTCACTTCACATGATATCAAGAAATGTCTGAAGATGCTGGACATCATGAAGGCTATAGGTCCTGACAATACTCCATCATTAGTAATAAACATCTGTGCTCCAGAACTTTTCACACCTTAGCCAAGCTGTTCTTGGTGTTGCTACAATGCCAATATCTACCCAGCAATGTGGAAATTGCCCAGGTATGCCCACTTTACAGAAAGCAGGACAAATCCAGCCCGACCAATTACCAACCCATCCGTATTCTCTCAATTATCAGAGAAGTGATGGTTGGGGTCATAAACGTTGTTAAGATGCAACACTTGCTTAGCATTAACCTGCTCACTGATGCTCAGTCTGGGTTCTGCCAGGACCACTCAGCTCAAACAAGAACAAAAGAGCTGAATTCCAGAGATGAGATGTCTGTCCTTGACATCATCTATACGGCCACAAGACGCCCTGGCAAAACTCCAGTCAATGAGAATTGGGGAAAACTTCCCTCTGATTAGAGTCATACCTACCACACAGAAATATGGTTGGAGGTCAATCAAAGAGAGCCAGATCATCACTGCAGAAGTTCCTCAAGTTAATGTCCTAGGCTTCATCAAAAATATGGAAGAAGTACATTCTAAATGTAACTTTAGATATTTTCTATATCAACCGGTTCATACACCATTGGAGCAGATAGGACTTAAACCCAGGCCTCCTGGGTCAGAAGTAGGGTGTATATTTATGAGCTAGCAGTCCTAAATACAACCAAGGTGCTGTCAAAACGAATCAGATATTTTCTGTGGAGTCACAGGTAGATAGGGTGGGGAAGGCGGCATTTAGAATGCTCGCCTTCATTGGTCAGAACATTGAGTAAAGGAGTTCAGATGACATGTTGCGACTGTACAGGACATTGGTGAGGCCACTTTTAGAATACTACGTACACTTCTGGACGCCCTTCTATAGGAAGGATGTTGTTAAACTTGAGAGGGTGCAGAAAAGATTTACAAGGATAGGCTGAATAGCCAAGGTATTTTTCCCAAAACTAGAGAGCATAAGTTTAAGGTGAAAGGGGAAAGATTTAAAAAGGACCTGAGGGGCAACTTTTTCATGCAGAGGGTGGTGCGTGTATGGAACGAGCTGCCAGAGGAAGAGGTGAAGGTGGGTACGATTACAAGATTTAAAAGCTATCTGGGCAGATATATGAATAGGAAGGGTTTAGAGGGACATGGGCCAAATGCTGGCAAATAGAACTAGGTCAGATTGAGATGTCTGGTTGGCGCAAACAAGTTGGAGCAAAGAGTCTGTTTCCGTGCTGTTTGACTCTATGACCTGTTCAGAGACAATATTGCAAACTCCTGCAGCAGGCCTCCTAGCTCAGAGGTAAGAGCACTATCTCTGTACCACAAGAGCCCTCTTCTCAGAGGTAGGGACAGATTTGTTGCAATTGCACTCACCTGACAATGTTTTAAATTGACCAGGCTCCATCTGGTGCCAGAAGCTGGTCAGTGTCAGCAGAAGACATGACCAATTTCTGTTGCTCGGTGGAGCTTAAGACTTAAGTGTAAAAACCAAAAGAACTGTAGATGCTATAAATCGGGAAAAAAACCAAAGTTGCTGGAAAAGCTCAGCAGGTCTGGCAGCATCTGTGAAGAAAAAATCAGAGTTAACATTTCGGGTCCAGGGATAAAATTACAATTTTATTCACCAGACTACAGAAAGTTAAGGAAGAGTTAACATATTTAAATTACTAGAAAGTTTAAAGGTATAAAGAATAAAAGATTATTTCTAGTTTATTGGACATCAACAAAGGGGAATAAACTCAGAATTGGTAATAAAAATACAAAAAGGCAACTCAGACTGATTTTTTGATAGCAAAGGATAATCAGTATATGGAATTCTTTCTCACAATTTTCATTGAAGCTCGGTAAGCTGCAACATGACAGAATTAGATAACAGAAAGATAAATTGGAACTGATAGGTTCAAGTGGAAAAAATACTACTAGCCCAAGCACAATGGATTGATTGTTCTCGACCTGTGTTCAAACATCTATGATTTGTTGCAGGATTGCTCTAACAAAAGTAGATGGCATTTCTAAATTTAAAAAGCACTTGAGTAGTCCAGGTTACATATATCAAATAGCAGAGATTGAGTTAAAATGATCATATAACGATGCAAGCTAGATTATGACAGAGGCCTCTTCTCCTTCCTCCAATTTTATTTCAATAAATCTCTCTTTGGTGTGAGAGTAAGAGTGAAATCTGGTTACACCTAAGATGCTGTCTATATCTTCAACACTAGAATTTATCAGAAATAGTATTTGGGCTCCATCGTCCATGTCACAGAAGGCTGTGGAGGCCAGGTCATTGAGTATATTTAAGACGGAGATAAATAGGTTCTTGCTTGTCAAGGGGATCAAGGGTTACGGGGAGAAAGGGACTGAGAAACTTTTCGGCCATGATTGAATGGCGCAGCAGACTTGCTAGGCTGAATGGCCTAATTTCTGCTCCTACTTAATAATTAGGTATGAGCAATAAATGTTGGTCTAGCTAGTGATACCAAGATTCTAAAAACAAATAAGATAAAGTTTATACTAAAATAGAAGATTTTAGAGAAGAAAGGTTACGAAGTAGATCAGATAGATTGCTTTCAATGCAGGCCATGGGGTGCGGGAAATAAGTGCAAGTGGATTAAAGATAGTTCAGGATGTCATATGGTGCATTTTCAAACAAAGACAGATTAATGCCTAGAATTGTCTCCCTTATGAGGTAGGGACACCAACTTTGATTAAATGTATTCATGGAAATTTCAACATATGACTTGCCCCTAGTTGGCCAAGACATCCTGATACTGACACACTGCCTTCCTGTGCTGGAATCCAAAAAGGTTCATCATCCAATTAGAAAATACTTGACTGTCAGTCCTTTTTTCAGGCAATTTTCAATTCTTTTACAAAGAGAATTTAAAGAAAAAACCCAAAAAGTCCGGTTTTAAAATCGAATAACCAGTGAAACTGCCAAATAATACATACTGGTTCGATTGTTTTGTATACTTCAAAATGGAGCTTGAGTACAACCAGTACATTCATTTCTAAGATAACAAGGTGTAGAGCTGGATGAACACAGCAGGCCAAGCAGCATCAGAGGAACAGGAAAGCTGACGTTTCGGGTCGAGACCCTTCTTAATTATTGTTTTTTGACTGTTTTTTCATGCATTCACCAGCAGCATCTGAAAGATTAATTATCAATCCAGGAAAGATTGGCTTGCCAACCATCCTTATGGGGGCATTGAGGGCTCTTCAAGAAGAAATTAGATAGGGCTCATATGGTGTATCATGAACCAACTGGCTCCCTCATTTCTGGGATTTCAAGTCATGTCATTCCGTGGGAAAAGGGCAAGCGGGGAGGGAGGAGGTGGGTTTTGGGAAAGTCACAAAAATTCAAACAACAGACGTCTACGTGTTTAATCGAGCGAGTTTGCAAATCTCTCTAACTGATTAACTCACTGACAAATCGAGGCGCTGGGACCTTTACCAAGATGGCGGGGTCTTCCACCTCCATCAAAGCCTCCTGTCCAATCAGGACAGCAAACCGTCGTGTGAGCATGCGCAGTCAGCCGTAGACTGTGAAAATGCGACCGCAGTGTCTTTCTGACCCGGAACAGGAAGTGGACTCGCTGCTGGAGTTGTGCTTGTTATGAAAGAAAGGAGCTTGGGTTTAAAGAGTCTGTGTTAACACAAGGAAATCGCCATTATTATCAGCAATAATAATATGTTAGGTCATTCACATGCCAGAAAGATGAGAAGCCCGGGAGCACAAAAGGAGGTTGTGGCCTTTTTTCATTGTTCGTTAAATTCCGTCTTGATTTCTAAGACGTGAGATCGATTTCTTATGTGATTGTTTTGTCTCCTGTGAAGAGAGTGTAACTTTTGTCCATATGCACAGCAATTTGTCTGACATTGACAATCCTGCATTTCGCACTGTTAACGAAAGATATTTGCTACCTAAAATCGTTCTGACAGCTTGTGCTATTCCTTTCGAAAGGTGTAAGCAATCGTGCATGCAGTAATCTATGTGGATATTTTCTAAACAATGCCTTTAATTGGACCTTTTCTAGTAAGTTTTCTAATATACTGGTGTGTCTTTTGTTCCATAATGTAATGTGGCTGAGGTTACCATGAAGGACTCTCCTCCTCAATCTGTCCCCTCGCCTGAGGCATAGTGACCCTCAGGTTAAACCATTACCAGTCGTCTCTCTTTAATGAGAGAGCAGCTTATTGTCCAGTAAGACTATGATAACTTTACCTTTTCCTTTTATATGTAACAGTTGTATATGTTTTATAATAAAAAGCATATTTAGACCTTAATAAAAATTGACATGAAATGTGCAAGATGACTTAAACAATACTAGTCCTGTAGATAAAATAATATTGTCACATTTATTTCTATGATATATTTAATTATCTAGTATAGCTCATATAGAGTTACAAATTTAATGAATATATCACATGCACAGTAAAAATTAAAACTTGAAAGTATATCATAAAACTTTAAAATGTTTTAGATTTTTGCATGCCCAAATCTGGATTAAATCTTTAAAGAATTCCTGTCATTTGTAGTGGGGTCACTAGAATTTCAGAAAGCATATTGGTGGCTGCATTAAGATTATGTTCAACATCTGTCTGTATTATGACAAACAACCAATCAATAGATGATTTAGTGTCTCAAAGTGTTTGGTTTAGGATGTACAACACTACTTTTTTTAAAAAATGGTGATGTTGTAAGCCTGTCACTGATGTTTTGAGATGAGCATCATACACATGGGTTCGTTTGATTTCCATAACCCTTCTTCCAACACCGTCCTTTTTAATAAGCTGACTGACAACACTGATAATGGACCTCTGGGAATGATTGCAAGCTTGCAGAGATTCAGATATTCATAAACAATGTGGTCCATTGATATAAATTTGAAATACTTAATTGTTCTGTATGTCAGAAATCACTTCTAATCACTATCAAGTACAAGTTAATTCCTAACTTGCAAAATTTGATCCCTTCAAAACAACAGTGGTATCCCTACACTGCATGTGTGTGTGTACATGCATGAGTACATCCTAATATGTGTATTCAATCATGACCCTCTAGATTAGTGTCACTAGGTCTGCAGTATGAACTTTTGTGAAAATAAACAGTATGGAAATATGCCTAGATGGTCAATTAAAGCAGTGGAACCATACAATAATTATACATGTACACATACAAAACTATGCTGTACTTAGAAGCAGTTTAGAGATGTTAAAAACTATTAAACATTTGATGCAAAAACAATGAGCTGGTGATGACTATGAAATACATCAAGTCTATGAAATATATCGTCATCAGTGGTGATTTATGCAAATCCAATCATAGTTCTTAAATGGGAGATGAATAAACACTTAAAAATATGTTAGCAGGAAAGTGGAGCTAGGTTGGTTAGCATCAGTGTAAAACTTGCAGTGATGTTGCATAGTAATGAAAATGTTACACACTGTTTATATTTGCATGATTCTTCAAGCTCGCATCAGCTGTACCTGTTTACCTTACACTAGTTGCTTATTGGGCTTGAATATTTGGAAGTTAATAATCAACTCAATACTATATTGGCCAGAAGCCACTTCAGATTTTAACTTCTTGCCATCATAACAAGTACAATGTCTGTGCTCTTGGATGTGTTTCAACTTCTCTGACATATTTTATTCTTTCTTAAGGTTTCAATGTGTCAAGACAAGTAGATAGCAATTTTGCTCTGAGAAGATGGATTTGCAGTGATGCAGAATTTTTCTGTTATCAACATACAGTACCAGTTCACTCCAGGTCCTTCAGTGTCTGAATGACTACCTCATGTCTGTGCGCTGGGACTGATAAACTGATTTCCAGTCTCAGACAGCACAACACAGTTCAGGTAAACTTGTGCTTTCCTTTATTGACAGTTTGTCCACATTGTTAACTTTGGCTTGACAGAGAATTAAAGAGTCACTGTTTCTGACAATATACTGTTTAACTAGCCATAAGGTTTGTGGACAGTGCCAAAATGAGTTTCCTTTTTACCTTTTACTGGAAGTCAGATATATAAGAAAGAAAATATGTGCAGTATTTTAGAGCTTAAAGAATCATCATAAGGTCAGAAGTGTACATATTTGCTTATGAGTGCACAACATTCAGCACCATTCACAAATTTTCAGGTATTAACGCAGTTCACTTTCAAGTGCAACAAATTCTGAACAATGTCCAGGCTTGGGCTGACAAGTGGCAACTAACATCCGCTTCACACAAATGCCAGGCAATGACCATCTCCAATAAGAAACAATCTAACTCCACCCCTTGACTTTCAGTGATGTTACTATCACTGAATCCCCCACTCTCAACATCCTTGGGGTTACCATAAACCAGAAACTCAACTGGACTCACCATGTAAACACAGTGGCTACAAGAGCAGGTCTGAGGGCTAGGAATACTGCAGCAAGTAACTCACCCCCTGACTCCTCAAAGCCTATCCACCATTTACAAGGCACAAGTCAGGATGAATATTCCCCACTTGCCTGGATGGGTGCAGCTCCAACAACACTCAGGAAGCTTGATACCATCCAGACCAAAGTAGCCCGCTTGATAGGCACCACCTCCATATGCATCCATTCCCTCCACCGCTGATGCTCAGTCACAGCAATGCATACTATCTACAAGATGCACTCGGAAATTTATCGAAGATCCTCAGACAGCATCTTCCAAACTCACAACCACTTCCATCTGTGAGGCCAAGGGCAACGGATGCATGGGAACACGACCGCCTTCAAGTTCCTCTCCAGGCAACTCATCTAATTCTGACTTGGAAATATATCGCTGTTCCTTCACTGACACTGGGTCAAAATCCTGGAATTTCCTTCATAAGTGCATTGAGGGTCAACTTAGAGCACGTTCAAGAGACAGACATTAACAGTCTGGTCTCAGCAGATCAATACTATTTCAGAATATCATGTTATACTGTTGATCACTAGCGTTTGGTGGTGGGTAAGAAAGAAAATTCTTAAAAAAGATTCTGTCGTTACTTTGTTCACAGGAGTAACAATGTTTAGCACCACACAAACTTCCAAAACTCAGTTCCTGGACAAAGCCCGGGCAGCTCGAGAGGAGAGGAAAGGGCAGAAGGAACGTGAACGAGCGACTATTCAGATTCAGGCGGTCGTCAGGAGGTACCTCTGTAGGTGTCGGCTACTTCGAGAAATCAGGTCAATTTTTTTTTGCAAGAATCTTTGTAACAATGTCATGTTCAAAAGACAAATAGAGAGCAGAGAATAATATAGAAATGGTAGGATAACATTGTTTTAGAAACAAACAAATTCCCAATAAAAGTCAAAACAGTCAAGGTCTTAGCAACATCTGCAAGCTTTATAGAACCAAAGACCATCCAAGACTCTCAAACCTGTGGAAACTCTTCTAAAACCTCAGTATGTTCCTCATGGAGTTTTCAGGCTTTTAATTCTGGCCCCACTGCTACATCCCAACATGTAGTGTGGGTCACAGGTGTCTCCCACAGGATTTTAAAAAAAACACACTCACCAAAGTGTCCTGGGAAAGCAATAAGACAATAAAATGTAGGAGCTGAAGCAGGCCATTCAACACAAGACTCTGCTCTGCCATCAATGAGATCACGGCTAATTTAATAATCTACGACTCCGCTTTCCTGCTTTATCCCCATACCCCTTCACTCCTTTACTGATTAACAATCTGTCTATTCAGCCTTGAATATTCTTAATAATCCAGCCTCCTGGGAGACCCCTAACTCTGAGATTATGATCTCTGGTTCTAAATTCTCCCAAAAGAGGAAATGACCTTTCTGCATCTATCCTATAAGGGGACCACACCTAAAGAGAGGGAATGGCCTAGTGGTATTATCGCTAGACTATTAATCCAGAAACTTGGTTAACGTTCTGGGGACCTGGGTTCAAATCCTGCCATGGCAGATGGTGGAATTTAAGTTCAACAAAGAATCTGGAACTAAGAGTCTAATGATCGTGAATTCATTGTCGATTGTTGGGAAAACCCATCCGGTTCACTGATGTCCTTTAGAGAAGGAAACTGCCAACCTTAACTGGCCTGACCTACATGTGATCCTGTTAACCACAGCAATGTGGTTGATTCTTAACTGCCCTCTGGACGATTAGGGAAGAACAGATAATGGTGGCCTAGCCAGACATATCCACATCCCATGAGTGAACAAAAAAAAAACCGGTTCCCATCATTCAAGCTGTGGTCTAACTAATGCCCAGTATAGATTTAGAGAAACTTCCCTATTTTTATACTCTGCTCCCTTTGATATAAAAGCCAACAGTCCATTTGCCATCTGCTGAACTTCGATGCAAACATTTTGTGCTTCATGCATGAAGATCCCCAATTCATCTGTGCTGCAGCTTTTTGCAGTCTATCTTCATTTAAATAATATTCACCTCTTCTGTTCTTCCTGATACAGGTCATAATCTCATATTTTCTTACATAATATTCTATCTGGCAAGTTTATGCACAGTCACTTAACCTGCTTATATCATTCTGCAGCCTCTTTTGCGTCATCCTCACCAATTGTGTTCTCACACATTTTTGTGTCATCTGTAAACTTAGCAATAGTATATTCACTTCTGTTGTCCAAGTCATTAATACTTTGTAAATAATGTGGCCTCAGCACTGATCCCTATGACACTCCACTAGTAGCAGGTTGCCATCCTGAAAAATGCTCCCTTTATCCAAACTCTGTCTTTTACCAGTCAGCTAATCCTTTATCCATGTTGATGTGCTATTCTCAACACCATTGGCTCTTATCTTATTAAATAGCTTAATATGCAGTACCTTATTGAATGCCTTTTGGAAATTGAACCAGCAGTAAACCTCCCTTGTCCCCTAACTCCTCAACCAAAAAAAAACGGTAATTTTTGCCGGAAAGCAGAAAATGAAACACAAAAACAACCTGTTCAAAAAGTGAAAAATGTATACAAGACAAAATAAGTTATATAACTTAGTAAGAAAAAAAGTTGTTAGGTAGTTATCCAGATGACCTTGGGTCTATAGTTTTGTTTGGTTCAATTAATATCACATTATTCACCAATGGGAATAATTTGTTACACATGAGTAATTTTATCTATTCAGAGCTGAGCTTTTTCAAACTTAAATATATTACATATTCAAATAACAATTATAATATGCATAAATTTCTAAAGCCCCTAATGCCCTGTGTAGCACAATCTTTGCAGAGCTTGTGGTTTGGTTGTTGAATTAACTGACCTCAATTGAGCTTGTTATAATGGGCCTGAATGGGAACAAGGGGCAGAAAGTGTTGGACATTATTCTCATTCGACTGTCTAGTAAGACAACTGTGGATGTTGGGTAAAACATTGTCTATATTTTGCATAGACTAAAAATTATCGATGGAAATGGACAGTTAAAAAAGCAAGTTTTTAAATGGAACCCTGTTGGCATGACTGCATTTTCATCAGGATATTTTGAGCAATGCGTCTTCAAGGGTTTTTGGAATCGTAGCACTTCCGCCTTTCGTAGATGCTGCTTAGTTCAGCAAGAATGTTGTGACTTAAATTCATTGCCATGCATCTTTAATCTGTTCTGTTTCTCTTCCTTTATTAGACCTCAGTCCTTAAAATGTTTAGCAATTTGGCCTTGATATTAGGCTTCATAAAACTAAACCATAAGTGTCATCTCTTCGACAGCCACTTGTATATTTTGCTTTTTGAAAATTTCATCAGCATTGTTTAATTGGGTGATGTTTCCTTTACAGGTTGGAAGTTGATGATTTTTTTGATACCTATGAAGCAAATTCATCAAAAAGAAGTGCACTTGCTTTATTTAAAATCACGAGGAAGTTTCTGTTTGTGTATCACATGAAGGAAGATAAAGATGTGAGTGGCAGGTTACTGCAGTCAGTTCTGTGGCCTTGGATGGGGAGGGAGAATTCACTAGTTTGTCGTCGTTTCAGCCTTGTTGTTCTTTTTAAAATTTTATTGTTTATCGGGGTTAAGAAATTAAAGTTCTAATTTATTCTGGTGGTTTGCAAGAGGGTCAGATTTCTAATATTTCAGTTAAAGTAATCCCGAAGATTGTTAAAGTTCTCGGACTTGCATTTAAAACAGATGGACAATTTGTTCCAAGGTCAGAGGAGTGTCTGGGAAGCAGGGGAAACATTACTCTGAGCTCTACAGGATGTAATTTATGACTGGGGCTGGGGCAGAGGTGAAAGAGCTTTGTCCTAATTAATGTTATGACCAATCAGACAATTCTAGTGCTGACATCAAGTATCTGAACTTTTCTGTTCCTCAAAATGTCAGACTCTCATGGTGTTGAGCACAAAATTCTCATAAATCTTGCAACTCTGGGAACTGATGCACCATGAAGTCACATATGTACAACCTGTAAGAGATTTCCTTTTAGGTCAGCATGTTGTTGCTGTATGAATGTATAATTGCAAGTTTCACTTCATCGTTCCCCATTTGCTGGAATATTGGTCCTAGCTAAGCCATCATTAAGTTACAAGCATAGTCTACTGACTGCATCCTATAGCTGCCAATGCCTTAAGTGCGACCTCCTATTGTTGAAAATGAGAGAAGGCCTTATTTACACCTCCATTGTACATCAAAACGAACTAAATTTTAACTTCTTGTGCTAACAAACTGTGAAACCGGGGAATCAAGATTTTGCCAAACATGTACCAAGTATGGCATAGGCATTGCAAAGTTCATCCTACTAGTCACTGCATAGGAGATCAATAATTTGTCTATGGAAATTTGGAAAACCAATTGTCAAGGCTCAAAGTTTTGTGCATATCCTACCCTCTATTCTCTATATCTGCATAGGTTGTTTGATTAATGTGTTGTTATATCTTCCCAGAGACTTCAGAAGCTGTGTCGCTGTATCCTTAACAGCATGGAAGTAGAGAATGAGTCCAAGGTTTGTATATACTCATACAGACTTCAAATGTGTTACTTCTTTCTTGCTGTGGTTTAGTTGATAAATATTTCACCCAATGTGGATCACAATCAGACAGGCAAACAAGATCATATTCAATTCCTAGCCATATGGTGTTCCACAGAATTTTAATCTGTATTGCCATCAACTTCTCCATGAAAACTGACAGCCAATGGCCTTTGCCATCATTCTAGTCTCAAATTATTCACCATATTGGATTAGTAAACTTCAGGAAACAACAAACTTTAACTTGATCACTCCTGTCAATGGCCATCACAGGTCTGTAATTCACCCCTATTTCCCTACGATGCTAAATATTTTCCAGGTATGTTGCAATTTGGGAAGGGCACTATCTAGAATAGTACAGACACAAGAACTTGGAAACAACTGAGAAGTGCTAGTGTTACAACTGAGCCAGACGCTTCTGTCATTTAAATACCACACACATCCTTAGTAAAGTGTGTTTGTAACAACCTACCTTCAGGAAAACAAACTGCACTTAAGCCACTGATACGTTGTCCCTGTGATGCAGTTGTTTCACAACTTAAATAAATTTAAGATTTCAGCTAAATGTAAATTAGTATTAATGTTTTATGAAAGCAATAGAAGAGCTGCGTCTTGGAATTTCGTAGAAAATGGAGTGGCTGAAGTTTATATTGCTTATTTTGGATATGAATATAACAAATGGAAATATTTGAAGTTTTACCCTTACAGTCCTGCAGAATATCAGGCTGCGAGTTCACCACATTGTATCTCACCATGTTTGTGTCTCACACGTTCACACAGCCAAAGTCAGCATTGTATGAAGTATTCATAGACATCTTTGCTTTTTACCAAATTTTATTGGCAGAATGTTAAGCAAGATATGGACAGTGCAATTAATTTATGCATTTACAGTTTTCTTTTTAATATGTTGCTGCATATTTAGCAGTATGACAGACTTGTATTCCTCTACAAGTGTTCTCAATTTTTAATTTGGAACAGCATTATGAATCGATGTTGCCTTTTAAAATATTTTTTCAAATTTCGTGACTATTTGCAGGTCTGGTATGTATCATTGGCACTCTCCAAAGATCTCACCCTGCTATGGATAAAACAAGTTAAAGACCTCCTCTGGCTCTGCTGTGAGTTTCTGAAGCAGTTGAAGGTAAATTGAAACCTACACATGTAAATTTCTGTATGTGGAGAGGAGGGGGCTGCAGTTCAAACTAAATTGCTCATTCAAAAAATAATTACTGCTTTGTTTTCAGTTGGCAATAGACAAGTATTTACTAAGCATGTTTTTCCAACATTTTCTTTTGTACTGAGGTACCGCTGGGTCCCTGTCACTGAGCCAGGTGCTCCTGTCATTTAAATGATATTCAAATTCTCACAGAAACATACTTGTAACAACATATCCAAAGGGGAAAGAAAATTAGTGAAAAGACATTGATGTGTGATGCATTGCTTCTGTAATTCAGTTGTTTCACAAGTGAAATAAAATAAAATGTCAGCTAAAAATAAAATTGATATTCAAGTATTATGAAAGCAGTAGAGCAGCTGCCTCTTGGAATTTAATAAAAAATGGATCAGTTCAAATTAAGTTTGCTTAATTAAGGTAAGGATTTAATTAACAGATGGAAATATTTTAAGTTTTTTTCTTGCAGTCTGATATTCTGCAAGACTGCAAGCTCATCACATTGTATCTCACCGTGCTGGTCACATTCACAGACACCTCAACCTGGAAAATACTGAGAGGGAAAGGTCAGTGGCAAAAACAACCTCTCTAGTTCATGCAGTAATTAACTAATAACTAGACCTTTTTAATCTAGATTTTGTTCAGGACTTCTGAGGTGCAGGTAATTAGTTCCTACCTATTTTTGATTTTTTTTTGTGGGTTCTGTATTTCTCCCCTTTCTCTTGGATTTTGGCTGATCAGTGCCTCTGCTCATATGTCCAACTTTCAAGCTGTGCTTAGGTCCTATATAACAATAGCCCAGTGATTTTAGTTCATATGTATCCTCTTCCACTGAAGAATTGTTTTTCTCTTCTATCAGCACAACTGAAATTAAGTAGGTAACTGCAAAAGAAACTCAAATGTCAACTATTATAAAAGTAGGAAAAGAGTAAATTAGTATCACATTTTCTATTTCAGTTGATGTAATTGGAATCACTGGATAAACTGGATGCACAATATTATCACGAGCCCCTATGAACATTTTTTTGCTGCAACTTACTTTTCTTCCCTCTAGTTTCTTCTTCCGCTATCCTCTTGAAAATGCTGACTTGTGCTGGAGAATAGAGATGGAGAGAAAGATCAGAAGTAAGAACACAAACTGATTGTTCACCTTCCATCCTCTGATCAAAAACATTGGACCGACATTTTAAAGTTCCAACTGCTCATTCAGCACAAGTGGAGAATTAAAACTAAGCATTTTGTAGAGGCCAGCACATTTATTGATTTATAATTTGGAATTTGTTTGTATATAGGTTTAGTCAGGCAAGTAGGCAACATACCTAAGAAATAGTAATTTTGATTTGTGACTTTGGTTAAATGATATTTAAGGGTGTCACACTTTTGGACAGTATAGAGATTTAGTGAACTTGTTCATGTTGCCAATACCATTGATTTTTCTTGCTAACAGGAGAAGTCCTGAGGCCTGCCATGAATCACATCTGTGCAAACATCATGGGGCATCTCAATCAAAAGGGATATTACACAGTGCTACAGGTTTGTTCAAAAGTGCTGCTTAAATTTGGTGTTTAAAAAAACCTAATTGTTGTAGCTACATCATGAAGGTTGAGTTGTGTCTGATTTTAAAAAAAAAATATATACTGTTGCCTGAATACCTATTAGGAGCAAAAACTCTTATCATCAGTTCAGAAGGTCTCCAAAAAGAAATGCTGAGAAATTCTCATGTACGGTTTCTTTTTGCTGTTTTTTATACTGGGATGTGGGCTTTGCTGGCAAGTCCTGCATTTGTTTCCCCATCCCTAATCACCTCTGAGAAGTTGGTAGTAAACTGTCTTCTTGAACCACTGCAGTCAGGTGTAGGTGTATCTGCCATGCTATTAGGTAGAGAGTTCTAGGATTTTGACTCTGTTGAAGAAGGAATGTTACCGTACTTCTAAGCCAAGATAACATGTGGCTTGAAGAGAAACTTACAGGTAACAGGCGTGCACCCACTGTCCTAGGTGGTAGAGAGTATGGATTTGGTAGATTTTGAAGGAAGCTTATTGAGCTGCTGTGCACTGTCCCACAGGGCTACTGTCTGCTTCCCTAATATGAGACAGTATAGATTGTTTGTTTTAGACTATGCATAATGACCAACAAGCCTGATTAGTTTAACCAGCTAAAACAGGGCTGTTTATCAGATGCAGCAGCTTAAAGTCTGCCTTTACAGGCATGCACAAGTTAAAATTGATTTCACTGTGTGAATGGAAAATATAGTATCCAGAGTTTTTACTTGGTAATGGAAAATAAGTTTCTTTATCCCCAGATATTGTTAACAAATGGACTGGCAAGATCAAAACCTTCTTTGTCCAAAGGCACTTTAACAGCTATTTTCACCCTTGCATTACGGTAAGGGAACTTTCATTCAGATCAAACTTCATTTCTGATACGGCTTGCCATAAAGATGGCAGTTAAACTTTCTACAAGAGAAGTAACACTTAAGAGATGAATCAGTCTTTTTGGAAAGGCTACATCAACAATGCAAAAAAATTCTTAATTGATTGTTTTACTTGTACCTCTTACGGACATTAAGTATGATACAAGTATTCTTCTTCGGTCATTGGTACTTCAGTGCAGCTAATGGCTATGTGCAGGCCATCTCCTCAAGCTGTAACTGTGGTTTGGTGTACCTCTGGATCTCGATTTGTGGTCTACTCCATTGTAGAGTGCAGAGGAATCATTTTTGGTGCCTCACCTTTTATTATTCTCCAGTAAAAGACAAGGGAAGGTTTTAGGAGGCATCTTCCTTCAAACAACTAAGGAGTTATATTAAAACTCATTTATTTTTCCTTACCTTCCTATGCCTGTTCTGTATTTTGAAATTGTGCCCAGTAGCATTCATTGAGGGTTCGCTATTCAAGGAAGTTCACTGGTATGAATCGAAGTCCCATTATTCTGATACAAATCATTGCACCATTTCTGACGGTAAACTTTGAGCAAGGCATTTGAAAAGGAAAATCTCTCATTTCATCCATCTTATTCCATCTTTCAGTAACATCAGACAATGATTCTCAGTGAATCATGTCTGAAATAACCACTCAGTTTGCCTGCCCTCTATCTTGCACACAGCACGATCCCAGTAATGAAATGAATGATGATGAATTTGTTTTTGGTGGTAGGTGAGGAAGTAATGTTGGCTAAAACACGCAGCTCAGTGCTCTATACTGATAGAATTTTGGTTTAATATGAAGGACACTGCTACCTGAATCTTGGAGATTATGTGCTAGAGTGTGTTTTGATCTCCAGAATCCTTTGACTCCTAGTAAGTAATTGTACCAACTGAGTCATGCTTTTGCAATGTATTGGTCTAGGTTGTCAGGGTTAACAAAAAGTTCAAATAGTTTTGTTTCAGATCAAATTAAAATCTGGATGTTCCCTGGAGTTGAAATGGAATGTCCTATTTCAAGAGCCTTAAGTTCTAGTGCCTAAGCTACTGCTGTCAAAGTAGCTGTTTCAATTTGCATGCATTCCAGCTATTTTCTCTCATGCTTAACAGATTGATAGCTTCTAGATGCAAGGCCATGTTTCCTGTGTGCTGAATATAAACATTAAATATTCTAGCATAGAAAGCTATATGATAAACAGTACTCTTCTTTCGGGATTTGTTGCATTTTAGGAATAGCACATTTTCTAGCTACAGGTCTTTCTGCATCATGACCAGACCACATAATATGAGCTGTAGACTAAAATTCAGCTTGATAAAAGAAGTAAGATTGTGCCTAAGTTCTAATACCTCAGAAACTCAAATTGTTCTTTTAAACCAGTTTACAATCCTTAAAGAAGTTTAAGGAACTTCAAGTAATTTCTATTATTTTTCCTGGAGGACTTCTATATGAAAAAAAAACAAGCCTGCGTTTTCTACTAACTTCTTCCCAAATAGTACTGCAGCAAATTAGTATTTCATGTAAGCCAATGAAAGACTCCAGTATTTATTTCTCAGTAAACATCTATACCAGCTGATGAACTTACCAGGCTGTTTCATATTCTATTCTTTCTGAAGCATTTGATGAAGGAGAAATCATATGTCAATCTTACTTAATGTCAGATTTGTTGCAGAAAGCAACATTACTAATATCTGCCTCCTCCTTAACCAACTCCTAGAAGTCTCTGTGCTCAGGATACTTAATCAATCACTACCTGTGCATCCTTAACCTTAATAAGACAATTAATATACCATTAAAATTCACCTTCTTAGTTTGGCAGCCCAATAATCAAGTTTCTAAACAATTGTAACTTTCTAGAGATAGCATAGAAACAAAATCGATAAATAAGTTCAAGATATAATATTTGTGTGCATAATTTAAGTTGACACTCTATTGTTCTATTGGTGTAGGTTGATTATTGAATGACATCAAGGACATTAATTGTGCAATTGGTGCCCTGTTAAGGGTTTCCTCCCATTGTCACTGTTATTAATCCAGTGGTTGGGGAGATCTCATCATGTGGGGGAGCCTGATGAGCATTCTTGTGCAAGTTTGATTGTGTGTTCCTGGGGTGAGAAGGCGCTTGTTCAGCTGTTTGCTGATATTATGACTCCACCCACCTGACGTCTCTGAGCTGTGAGGTTTCGCGGTGAGTGCCGTCGGTGCAGCAGTCGCTGCCTTCTCCTTCAGTTAGAGCTGCTGGCCTCTGATTGGCCGGAGGCTTTCACTGAGTGGGATGTCAACTTCCCAGGGTCCTTGATCCTGGCCAAGTCCTAACTCTGTCCAGTTAAATGCCTGAGTGGAATTTAGTTTAATTGCCCTTCCCTAGAAGAGGTGGTGTGGGGTTCCCATCAGCTGTCCAGCCAATTGGCAAATTTCCAATAAATCACCTCCAGTAAATCCAGTCCATTTTGTATAATATCCCTGAAGCACCTTGCACTATTTTATTACATGAATATAAACCAAAAGAACTGCGGATGCTGTAAATCAGGAGCAAAAACAGAAGTTGCTGGAAAAGCTCAGCAAGTCTGGCAGCATCTGAGAAGAACAAAATCAGAATTAACGTTTCGGGTCCGGTGACCCTTCCTCAGAACTGATGGTAGCTGAGAAGATGTTAGTTTATATGCAGAAAATAGGGAGGGGAATGGGGTAGGGACTAAACAATAGGATAAAGGATAGAGCCCGAAGAGAGAGAGCGAGAAGAGCAGTTGGATAGACAGAGGAATTGATAACTATCTAGTCAGGAGGGTGAATAGCTGTTAATGGGGACTGTTAGTGACTAACAACAGGTGGTGTGTAATGGCAGACTGTGTGATAACAAAGCCTGGTGTGTGGGGTAAGGGGCTAGGACATGGGAGAGTTTAGGCCCTAAAGTTATTGAACTCGATATTGAGTCCGGAAGGTTGCAGGGTCCTAAGCGGAAAATGGGGTGTTGTTCTTCCAGCTTGCATTGAGCTTTGCTGGAACACTGTAGAAAGCCAGAGTCAGAGATGTTGGCCAGTGAACAGTGTGGTGTGTTAAAGTGGCAGGCAACTAGAAGCTCAGGGTCTTTTTTACGAGCAGAAAGTAGATGTCCTGTGAAGCGGTCACCCAGTCTACACTTCGTTTCCCTAATATAGAGGAGACCACATTGTTAGTGGCGAATGCAGTAGATTAGATTCTGGGAAGCTATTTTGTTACAGGTGTTTTATAATTTTAAGTTGTAAAAAATAGTGACTCAAATCTTCCAGTCACTGAATCATTGAAGACCAGATGTATGACCAGAAGTGCATGCTTCAACCCTGCAGAAGTCTCGGTACTCTGAATTACATCAAAATTAAAGAGAAACTTCAACGTCCAATGGGCAATTTCTCTGCTTTCCAAGATCCTCTCTGCAAATCTTGGACTCTGTGTTGAAGTTGGAGACTTGGGATGAATGTGTGGAACTGAACAAATTATTTGACAAGGAAATGTTACAGGAAATCCTAGGCTAATTCCTGAGTAACTCCAGCACTAGCATCCTGCAACCGCACGTTTTCTATGCACCTCCCTGAACCTCCTACCGCAGCTCCCCCCCCCCCCCCCCCCCCAAGCCAACTTCATGTTTCTGATTCCCTGTGACCATACATCTTCTTACACCGCACCCCCATTACATGTCTCTGTCCTCCCGACCTGCCTGCCACAGTACCCACCTACACACTGTACCCATTCACTGACATTCATTAAGCCAGCGCTGCAAAGTGGAGTGCCCTGACTTCCCTCTGAATCTACAGCACAATGATGAAACTCTTTGAGGGTCACTGCAGTGCACATCTCTGTGAAAAATGAGCTCAGGAAATCTGGCAAGAAATGCAGTGCAGCTTTGAAGTTGAGGGAGATTCAAGCAGAGCAAAAATTTAATGATGATTGTTGCTTCTTGGAAAATCTGAACCATTGTATTTTATAATTAAAGTCAATCTCTAATTAGGGAGAAAGAAATAGTAGGATATGCCAATTGAATTAAATGATGAATTGGAGGAGACTTATGTTGGACATAAACTGGTTGGGACAAATGATCTGCTTCTTTGTTGTGAATTCCCTGTGTAATATTTTTGGTTTAATCAGTTTGTAGTCACATACATTTTTGTTTAAAGTTGTAGTTTACTTTCTTTTTTCAGCCCAGTGGTTGCTGCCCAATTCTCAGACAACCTGCTCCGTTCCTTTCTGCTGCACATCATGTCAGTCCCTGCACTGGTGACACATCTGTCTACATTAGTACCTGCGGTAAGAAGTCTCACAGCTAAAACTCTGCTTGCAACTTTTTATCCATTTATATAGATACCTTTCTACCCTATTATATTTTTGAAAAGTGTACTTTTTTCAACCAGCACTCCCTACTCCCCAGTTCGCCAAAGTCCCTTCAATTTTCAGTTTCTTCCAATGCATTTGTCAATGAGAACAGGATAGCTTACTGTCACTAAACCTCTATCAATTTCATTGAAAGAATGGCAGCAGTTAACAAATGGTGCCCACTCTTCCTTGTTCCCTTCAGAATGCTTGGCTAATATTAAAAAAGATCTGAAACTGTTATGCCTCACAGGGGCAGTGTGCTGGAAATCAAGTCCCCCTATTGCTGGAGACGTCACAAAAGTTGTAAAAAATTTAAAATGTATGCAGAATTCCCCAATTTACCTGACTTTTAGACTCAAGTTGATAAAAAGCATAGACTATGTTTGTGTACTTAACAAGAATTACTATTTATTACAAATAAATAGATTTTAGTTACAGTAAAACATTATGAACCTTTGGCATATAACCGTACTAGTTAAAACTATAACTCCCTTATAAATTTTCCCTACACACATACAGACAGCCACATATAAAATAAAAATGGATAATATGGGTGAGGGAAAGATTGCAAAAGCAGTGTTATGGTTCATGTCCCAGGGTTTGTTAAGATAATCCTTTTGGCTTGTCAAAACCTGCTGCTCCTTTATCTTCCTTCAGCTACTTTCACTTGCTTACAGAAAGCATAGGGTAGCTGGTTCGTGTACAAAGTCTCTGACTTATTTGTAATAACCACAGCTTACAATAACTGCTGAGGAAAAAAATAAATTAGCTTTCTTCATCTATCATAGGGAAAATATTAAAAGATTTTAAGGACCTTATAGCAGGGCACTTGGATAAGTTAAAGGTAATCAGGCAGAGCCAACATGGTTTGTCAAAGGGAAATTTTTCTTATTGAATTCCGGAAACAGTAACTTGTGCTCTGGCTAAAAGGGAACCAGTGTTGTACTTAGCTTTCCAAAAGGTATTTGATAAGGTGCCACTCAAAGTTTACAGCAGAAAATTAAAGCTCATGATTTTTAGGGTAACATAGTGGCATGGATAGAAGATTTGCTGGCTAACAGGAAGCAAAGAGTGGGAATACATGTGTCTTTTTCAGGCTGGCAGGATGTCACGAGTGGTGTGTGACAGGGGTCGGTGCTGGGGCCTCAGTTCTTTATAATTTATAAAAATGATTTAGGTGAAAGGACTGAAGTATGGTAGTTAAATTTGTTGATGACACAAACATAGATAGGAAAATGAGTTGTGAAGAGGACAGAAGGAGCCTAGAGAGGGATTTGATAGTTAAGTGAGTGGGCAAAGATCTAGCAAATAGAGTATAGTGTGGAAAATGTGAAATTGTCCATTTTGGCAGAAAGAATAAAAAAATGCATGTTATTGAAACGGTGAGATGTTGCAGAATTCTGAGATGCAGAGAGATCTGGGTGTCCTAGTGCATAAATCACAGAAGGCTATTATGCAGGTGCAGTAAGTAATCAGGAAAGCTAATAGAATGTTATGTTTTATTACAAGAGGAGCTGAATAGAAGAGTTAAGGAGGTTATGCTTCAGTTATGAAGGGCATTCATGAGTCTGCATCTTGTTTACTGTGTGCAGTCTGCCTTTGTACTTACAGAAGGATATTAATACGTTAGAAGCAGTTGAGAGGAGGTTTACCTGGAATGAGCAGATTGCCTTATGAAAACTAGGCCTGCATTCCCTCGAACTTAGAAGAGTGAAAGGTGATTTAATTGAAATATACAAGATCCTGAGGCAACTTGACTGGGTGGATGTGGAAAGGTCAAAACGCAGTGGATGCAGAATCGTTAAATATTTTTAAAGCACAGGTAGATACATTCTTGATTACCAAAGGGATGAAAGATTAATGGGGATATGCAGGAATGTAGGGTTGAGGTTAAAATCAGATCAGCCAGGATCTTACTGAATGGTGGAGTAGGCTCAAAGGGCCAAGCGGCCTACACACACACACACACACACACACACACACACACACACACACACACA